ACACCGTGTGAGGGTACATAGCGTGAGGCTGGATATATGGGGAGGGGCGGCGGCGTACTGCCGACGGAAATAAATAGCAAACGGGTTGTGGAAACGAGTTGTCGTTGTGTGAGATAAGAACGTTTCGCTTGGCCATAGAACCTCATCGAGGCTGTGTGTTTCGCTAAGTGAAGAGCTCTGTCGAGTCGCGTTTCGTACCGTGGAGAGCTTTACCGAGTTATATTTGTTTTTGTAGTGTGTATTGCGGAGACGTGTAGATGTCCGTGTAGAGCTTCCAGTCAAGTCCCAGCTTGGTCAAGCTTTACACAGACGAAAGTATTATTAAATAAGAGCTCCATACATGGCAAAATATGACTTTATAAAATTCTATGCAGAGCGAAACATGGGTTGATAAAGCTCTATACAGAGAATGAAACACGACTTGATAAATCTCTATCTAGAGTAATAGTCCTTGTGGCTTAGCGCTTCTTTTTGATTATAATAATAATATCTAGAGTAAAACGTGGCTTGATAAACCTCTAAATAGAGTGAAATATGACTTTATAAAGCCCCACAGAAGGCGTAACGTAGTCACAAAGTTTGTTCCACAACCCGTATGTTCTCTACACTGTGAGCACTTAATGGACAGAGGCAGTAAGAGAGCACATTTCGCACATATTGTTAAACAGAAATAAAGCTTAAGTGAACCCTAACAGCGGGTGTGAGGGCAGGTAACACCAGGTGTGAAGGTAACACCAGGTGTGAAGGTAGGTAACACCGGGTGTGAGGGCAGGTAACACCAGGTGTGAAGGTAACACCAGGTGTGAAGGTAGGTAACACCAGGTGTAAAGGTAGGTAACACCAGGTGTGAAGGTTAGGTAACACCATGTGTGAAGGTAGGTAACACCAGGTGTGAAGGTTAGGTAACACCATGTGTGAAGGTAGGTAACACCAGGTGTGAAGGTAGGTAACACCAGGTGTGAAGGTAGGTAACACCAGGTGTAAAGGTAGGTAACACCAGGTGTGAAGGTTAGGTAACACCAGGTGTGAAGGTTAGGTAACACCAGATGTGAAGATAGGTAACACCAGGTGTGAAGGTAGGTAACATCAGGTGTGAAGGTAACACCAAGTGTGAGTGGAAGGTAATACTAGGTGTGAGGGGAAGGTAACACACAAGGTGTGAGGGTAACACCAGGTGTGAGGGTAACACCAGGTGTGAGGGTAACACCAGGTGTGAGGGCAGGTAACACCAGGTGTGAAGGTAATACCAAGTGTGAGTGGAAGGTAACACTAGGTGTGAGTGGAAGGTAACACCAGGTGTGAGGGTAACACCAGGTGTGAGGGTAACACCAGGTGTGAGGTAACACCAGGTGTGAGGGCAGGTAACACCAGGTGTGAAGGTAGGTAACATCAAGTGTGAGGGTAACACCAAGTGTGAGGGGAAAGTAACACTAGGTGTGAAAGGAAGGTAACACTAGTTGTGAGGGTAACACCAGGTGTGAGGGTAACACCAGGTGTGAGGGCAGGTAACACCAGGTGTGAAGGTAGGTAACATCAGGTGTGAGGGTAACACCAAGTGTGAGTGGAAGGTAACACTAGGTGTGAGGGTAACACCAGGTGTGAGGGCAGGTTACACCAGGTGTCAGGGTAACACCAGATGTGAATGGTAACACCAGATGTGAAAGATAACACCAGATGTGAGAGGTAACACCATGTGTGAGGGTAACACCATATGTGAGGGTAACACCAGGTGTGAGGGCAGGTAACACCAGGTGTGAGGGCAGGTAACACCAGGTGTGAGGGCAGGTAACACAAGATGTGAGGGCAGGTAACACCAAGTGTGAGGGTAACACCAGGTGTGAGGGTAACACCAGGTGTGAGGGTAACACCTGGTGTGAAGGCAGGTAACAACAGGTGTGAGGGCGGGTAACACCAGGTGTGAGGGTAACAACAGGTGTGAGGGCAGGTAACACCAGGTGTGCGGGTAGAGGCAGTACCCACCTGCGTCACCTTATCCCTGGAGACCTGCTGGAGAGAGATGGGTATCTGGGGCAGTTGCCTCTTCTTGGGCGAGCCGGTTGGGGTAGCCGTGGCACTCCTGGAAGGCATCCGGCCGGACCCACCGTACCCAGGCCTGTAGGGGAAAAGATGGGACCCTAGTTATGCCCACACCCGACATACCCCATTATCATGCCTCCACACGCAGAATAAAAAGGGTTTAAAGCGTTCTTGAGCAGCGGGAAGACGTGTAAGCGTGCAAGTGCGTTGATCTGAGGTGCCTGAAGGAGGAGGTATGGAGGCTGGTGCTGTTTACCTTGCTTCAGGAGGGGAGAGGGAGCGACTAGCTGGCTCAGGGGCGCGCCGGGGAGACTTGCTGCGCGATCGAGAGACGTGAAGAGACGGGGAATCTGTGGGTGCGGCAGACTGGCTCCTCGCGCGCGTGTTGGCGGGGAGGCTGAGGTCTTTGGCCTGGTACCTCGCGTCGTCACGCCGCGAGCGGTGCTCCACCATCGGGCGTTCCTCCGGAGGCGGACTGTAACCACACACTACGTTACTACGCTACCGCTAACTTACCTACGAGCTAGATTTAGTGCACAACTTGCGGGGGGGGAGAGATGTGTGTGTGTGTTATGTGTGTGAAGAGAGAGAGGAGCTACTGAACACACTACCAACACCCCTTCTAAACACTCGTGTTAAAATCGTTGGACTACGAGATTCTGGGTGTGTGTGTTTGTGTGTGTGTGTGTGAGTCTGCGGTACCTACCTGGAGGAGGAGCCGACGCTGCTGATGGAGGCTCCGTCGGTACGTCGCTCGCGGTGCAATGACCCGTCCTCGGGGTCAAGGTCACTCATGTCAGACTCGCTCAAGCGGGAATTGGTGGTGGAGGGCGGGGAGAGGTGGTCCGTGGAGGCTATAGTCGAGGCTGACTCCGTGTCCACGAACATGCTGCGACGCTGCAACGGACACGTACATGATTATTATAATTATTATTGCTACTTCATTTATCAGCAATAGCAATAGTATTATTATTAAAAATATTATCATTATAATTATTTTTATTATTTTTATTATTATAATTATTATTACTCTTATTAAAATTATTATTATTATTATTATTATTATTATTATTATTATTATTATTATTATTATTATAATATTTATTATTTCATTATTTTTATTACTTTACAACCCTATTTCTCACCTGTGGACCACCCTGGTCCACCCTGGTCCACCCTGGGCCACCATGGACCACCCTGGGCCACCATGGGCCACACTGGACCAACCCGGGACCATCATGGGCCACCCTGGGCCACCCTGGGAAACCCTGGGCCACCCTGGGCCACCATGGGCCACACTGGACCACCCTGGACCATCATGGGCCACCCTGGGCCACCCTGGACCACCCTGGACCACCCTGGGCCACCCTGGACCACCATGGACCACCCTGGGCCACCCTGGACCACCCTGGACCATCCTGAACCAACCTGAACCACCCTGGACCATCCTGAACCCCTGAACCACTTTGGAACCCTGAACCACCCTGGACCACCCTGAACCACCCTGAACCACCCTAAACCACCCTGGACCACCCTGGACCACCCTGGGCCACCCTGGGCCACCCTGGACCACCCTGGACCACCCTGGGCCACCCTGGACCATCCTGGGTCACCCTGGACCATTCTGAACCATCCTGAACCATCCGGGACCATCCGGGAACCACCCAAAACCCACCCTGAACCACCCGGGAATCCCCGGGACCCCCCGGGACCACCCGGGAACCACCCTGAACCCCCCTGGACCCCCCTGGACCACCCGGGAACCACCCTGAACACCCTGGACCACCCGGGCCACCTGGACCACCGGGGCCACCCTGGACCACCCTGGACGACCCTGGGCCACCCTATACCACCCTGGACCATCCTGGGCCACCCTGGACCATCCTGAACCACACTGAACCACCCTGGACCATCCTGAACCACACTGAAACACCCTGAACCACCCTGAACAACCCTGGACCACCCTGACACCCTGGACCACCCTGGACCACCCTGGACCACCCTGGGCCACCCTGGACCACCCAGGGCCACTCTGGACCACCCTGGACCATCCTGGGCCACCCTGGACCATCCTGGACCACCTTGAACCACCCTGGACCATCCTGAACCACCCTGAACCACCCTGGACCACCCTGAACCACCCTGGACCACCCTGGACCACCCTGGACCACCCTGGGCCACCCTGGACCATCCTGGGTCACCCTGGACCATTCTGAACCATCCTGAACCATCCTGGACCATCCTGAACCACCCTAAACCACCCTGAACCACCCTGAATCACCCTGGACCACCCTGGACCACCCTGGACCACCCTGAACCACCCTGAACCACCCTGGACCACCCTGGGCCACCCTGGACCACCTGGGCCACCCTGGACCACCCTGGACGACCCTGGGCCACCCTGGACCACCCTGGACCATCCTGGGCCACCCTGGACCATCCTGAACCACACTGAACCACCCTGGACCATCCTGAACCACACTGAAACACCCTGAACCACCCTGAACCACCCTGGACCACCCTGAACCACCCTGGACCACCCTGGACCACCCTGGACCACCCTGGGCCCCCCTGGACCACCCTGGACCACCCAGGGCCACTCTGGACCACCCTGGACCATCCTGGGCCACCCTGGACCATCCTGGACCACCTTGAACCACCCTGGACCATCCTGAACCACCCTGAACCACCCTGGACCACCCTGAACCACCCTGGACCACCCTGGACCACCCTGAACCACCCTGAACCACCCTGAACCACCCTGGACCACCCTGGACCACACTGGACCATCCTGAAGCACCCTGAACCACCCTGGACCACCCTGAACCACCCTGAACCACCCTGGACCACCCTGGACCACCCTAACCCCTGAACCACCCTGGACCACCTGGACCACCCTGACCAGATGACCACACCCTGAACCACCCTGAACCACGCTGGACCACCCTGGCCACCGGGGCCCACCCTGGACCACCCGGGAAACCACCGAGGCCACCATGGACCACCCTGGACCACCCTGGGCCACCCTGACCAACCTTTAACCACCTGGACCACCGGACATCCTGAACCACCCTGAACCACCCTGGACCATCCTAAACACCCGAACACCCTGGACCACCCTGAACCACCCTGAACCCCCTGACCACCTGAACCACCCTGGACCACCCGGGAAACCACCTGACCACCTGACCACCCTGAACCACCCTGGCCCACCCTGGACCACCCTGGAACCACCCTGAACCACCCTAACCACCCGGGCCCAAACCTGGACCACCTGGACCACCCTGGGCCATCCCCTGAACCAACCCTGGCCACCCTGAGCACCCAACCACCCTGACCACCTGGACCCCCCTAAACCACCCTGGCCCAAACCTGAACCACCCTGGACCACCCTGGACCACCCTGGACCCTCTGACCACCCTGAACCACCCTGAACCCCCCGGACCACCCGGGGACCACCTTAAACACCCTAAACCACCTGAACCAAACCTGGACCACCTGGACCCCTTGACCCTGGCCACCTGGACCACCCTGGACCACCTGCCACCGGGACCACCTTTGGACCACCTGAACCACCCTGAACCACCCTGGACCACCCGGGACCACCTGGCCCCCTTGAACCACCCTGAAAGCCACCCTGGACCCCCCCTGAACCACCCTGAACCACCCTGGACCACCCTGGACCACCGGGGCCACCCTGACCACCCTACCACCCTACCCCTGAACCACCCTGGCCCACCCTGACCACCCTGGACCCTGGACACCCTAAACCACCCTGGACCACCCGGGACCATCCTGCCACTCGGGCCCACCCTGGACACCCTGGCCACCCTGGACCATCCTGAAACCAACCCTGAACCACCCTGGACCCCCCTGAACCACCCTGACCACCCTGGACCACCCTGAACCCCCCTTGGCCCCCTGGCCCACCTGAACCACCGGACCCCACCGGACACCCTGAACCACCGGGACCATCGAACCACCCTGCACCCTGGACCACCCTGAACCACTTGGACCCCCCGGGGACCACCCTGAACCCTTCATTTGAACACCCGGGAACCATCCGGACCACCGGGACCACCCTGAACCACTTGAACCACCCTGGAACCAGGTACCTGAACCACCTGAACCACCCGGACCACCCTGAACCACCTAAAACCCAAACCTGAACCAACTTACCATTGGGCCACCCTGGACCATCTGAACCACCTAAACCCACCCTGGACCATCCTGAACCACCCTAACCACCCTGGACCACCCTGAACCACCCTGGACCACCCTGAACCACCCTAAACCACCCTGGGCCACCCTGGGCCATCCTGGACCACCCTAGGCCACCCTGGACCACCTTGGACCACCCTAGGCCACTCTGGACCACCCTGGACCATCCTGGGCCACCCTGGACCATCCTGGACCACCTTGAACCACCCTGGACCATCCTGAACCACCCTGAACCACCGTGGACCACCCTGAACATCCCTGGACCACCCTGGACCACCCTAAACCACCCTGGGCCACCCTGGACCACCCTGGACCATCCTGAACCACCCTGAACCACCCTGGACCACCCTGGACCACCCTGAACCACCCTGAACCACCCTAGACCACCCTGAACCACCCTGAACCACCCTGGACCACCCTGGACCACCCTGAACCACCCTGGACCACCGTGGACCACCCTGGACCACCCTTGACCACCCTGGGCCACCCTGGACCATCCTGGTCCATCCTGGACCACCCTGGACCATCCTGAACCACCCTGAACCACCGGGACTACTGAACCACCCTGAACCACCGGACACTCTGGACCCCCCTGAACCACCCTGAACCACCCTGGGCCACCCTGACCACCTGGACCACCCTAAAACCACCCTGAACCACCCTACCACCCTGAACCACCCTGGACCACCCTGAACCACCCTGGACCACCCTGGACCACCCTGGACCACCCTGAACCACCCTGAACCACCCTAAACCACCCTGAACCACCCTGAACCACCCGGGCCCACCCTGTACCCCCCTGGGCCACCTGAACCACCCTGGACCACCCTGAACCACGCTGGCAACCCTGAACCCCCCCTAAACCCAAACCGGGGACCACCCGGACCACCCGGACCACCCTAAACCACCCTGACCACCTGAACCCCCGAACCACCCTAAACACCCTGGACCCCCCTAGACCACCCTAATCCATCCTGAACCACCCTGAACCACCCTGAACCACACTGGACCACCCCGGACCACCCTGGACCACCCTGGACCACCCTGGACCACCCTGCACCACCCTGTACCACTCTGGACCACCCTGGCCCACCCTGAACCACCCTGGACCACCCTGGACCACCCTGAACCACCCTGGACCACCGTGGGCCACCCTGGACCACCCTTGACCACCCTGGGCCACCCTGGACCATCCTGGTCCATCCTGGACCACCCTGGACCATCCTGAACCACCCTGAACCACCCTGGACTATCCTGAACCACCCTGAACCACCCTGGACCACTCTGGACCACCCTGGGCCACCCTGGACCACCCTGGGCCACCCTGGACCACCCTGGACCATCCTGTCCCACTCTGGACCACCCTGGACTATCCTGGGCCACCCTGGACCATTCTGGACCACCCTGAACCACCCTGGACCATCCTGAACCACCCTGAACCACCCTGGACCACCCTGAACCACCCTGGACCACCCTGGACCACCCTGAACCACCCTGAACCACCCTGAACCACGCTGGACCACCCTGGACCACCCTGGACCATTCTGAACCACCCTGAACCACCCTGGACCACCCTGAACTACTCTGGACCACCCTGGACTACTCTAGACCACCCTGGACCACCCTGAACCACTTTGGACCACCCTGAACCACCCTGAACAACCCTGGACCACCCT